CATTTAGGGAGATATATATTAGTTCCCAATATTTAGAGAGAGTGTAGAATTTTCTTTTTCAATCTCTCAGGCTTTCTGAATTTCTCTCATTTCTTCTCTTTTTAATTTCTTAATTTTTAAATATGTATTTTTTAGAGTCTTTTGTTACTTTTTTTTTTTTTTTTTTTTTTTTTGGCCATGCTCAGCAGCTTGTGGGATCTTCGTTCCCTGACCAGGGATTGAACCTGTGCCCTTAGCAATGAAAGCGCATAGTCCTGGACCGCCAGGGAATTCCCCTCTTCTCTATTTTTAAATTTCTATCACAATCTCTCTAATTCTACTATTAGCATTAAGGAGTTTGCTAAAGACCTTGATGTTAGGTTTGGGAAGGTGAGGGTTATGAGGAAGATAGATTAAGGGAAGAGAATCTGTAGTTTGGTGTCTCCAGTTCATAGTGGTCAGGATGTTTCCTAGAGGGGCTGATAGGGAGAGTGACAAGTAAATTGGGTCCCTCTCTAGATTAAGGAATGCTTGTACTCTAGTTCCTTCCATCTCCCCCTGCTTTCCTCACTGTTTACCCAACCATATCCTGCTCTGTGTTAATCCTCATCTCTATGTTTTTTTGTCTTGTCTCATTATAAGGATTCATCAAACGTGAGGAAAAAGCCTTTGGAAACCGGGCACCGTTGTTCCAGCTCCTCTTCCCTCCCTGTCATCCATGACCCTCCTGTGTTTCTCCTTGGTCCCCAACTCTACCCATCCCAACCACAGTTCCTGTCCCCAGATGTCTTGATGCCCAGCGTGGCAGGGGAGCCCCATAGACCCCCAGGTAACTCTCCCCCCAATCTACTATTATGTGCTGGAATGTGGTACATTTCCAGGGACTTGGAAGAATCAAATCAGTACACCTGTTGGGGGGTGGGGGAAGAGGGGTCACAGGTGGGGTTGTAAAGGGATATGAATGACTGCTTTAAAGATGAATTATGATTGAATCATTTCTTGGGCAACATGGTCTAGACCAGAGCTCCCAGAATCTAACCACCCATGAAAATGAATTGCTTCAGTCATGATAGGATATGCTTTTAAGTGACCAAGGGGAGTTAATACCCAGTCTTTAAGATCCCCCAAAACAGGAAGTGTCATCTCTATCAGCTAGTTTCCTCTCCTTCTATCCCGAGTCTCAGTTGAGCGATGGTCTAGGACAGCGGTCCCCAACCTTTTTGGCACCAGGGATCAGTTTCGTGGAAGACAGTTTTTCCACAGATGGGAGGGGCAGGGGGGATGGTTTGGGGATGATTCAAGCACATTACATTTATTGTGCATTTTACTTCTATTACTATTACATTGTAATATATAATGAAATAATTATACAACTCACCATAATGCTGACAGGAGGCAGAGCTCCAGCGGTAATGCGAGTGATGGGGAGTGGCTGTAAGTACTGATGAAGCTTCGCTTGCTCCCCTGCTGCTCACCTCCTGCTGTGTGGCCTGGTTCCTAACAGGCCATGGACAGATAGCAGACCGTGGCTCCAGGGTTGGGGACCCCTGATCTAGGAGGACGAGGTGTGAATGGGAGACTTGGAAAGACCCTTGGAATATCCATGCCATGTATAGAGACCCAGACAATCCTGGGGAAGGTGGACAGTATCCTTTTGGCTTTGACCCTCCACAGCTAGATTTGTTCCTTTTCCTCCTTATGGGCTGAATCTACAGTTTAATGCAGTGATTCTCAACGGGAAAGGGGAGGTGCTACTGGCATATAGTGGGTAGAGGGGCCAGGGATGCTGCTAAACATCCAGCAATGCACAAGCAGTTTCCTTGCACACCCCATCCCACTCCCAAAACAAAGAATTGTCAGCCCAAAATATCAGTAGTGCCGAGGTTGAGAAACCTGTCTGTGGATATGTAAACCCCCAGGGCAAGGGATGGTTGTCATTCTTAGAACAGAAGATAGAGTAGTATTGTTGATATTTGTGTCCAAATTTTAGGGAGCTTTGGATACGCAGGCCTTCTGGATAAATAGACTTCATATTACTCAGTGGAACAGCCAGGTAGCCAGCCTCCTTTGACAGTTATTAGGGGTATCTGATTAGTCAGGCAGCATTTATTGCAACTTGTTCTGCACCAAATGCTACAGTGAATACAGGGGAGAAAGAAGGCAGCTCTCTGCTCTCAAAGAGCTCAGAGTTTGAATAGTCAGATATACATATGTGTAAGTATAGTACAGGTGTTGATGGAATTTTAAAATAAAGAATGAAAAATATTGTTTAGAAGTGATTTTTTGAAAATTAGTTATTTTGTTTCTTTTAAGTAAAGGGGAATCAATGTATAGAAAAGGCATTTCACATTATGTATGTGGGAGTGGTGCAAACAAAAGCAGAGATCTTGGAGAATGAGCAAGAATGTAAGCAGACACAGCTTAACTTCAGTGAAGGTACCATGTTCAGAAAAACTGAGTGATGTTTTGGCGTGGTGGCTCTTAAGGAGTAAAGTTGTCACAGTGAGAACATACATTTGCAATATTAGAGAGCCATTTGTGTGTGACTGTGTGTGTGTGTGTGTGTCTTTTGGAGGAAGGATTATAGTGCAGTGAGACAGAAGTATGGCAACATCCAGGAGACTGTTTCATTTGCACAGGTTGGAGGTAAGAGACTTGATTTTAATGTTTATTAAGAATTTTAAAAAATGAAATTAAAAGCAAAACTAGGTTCCTTCTTTCCCTTATGTGCATGTTCTTGGAGAGGTGGGGAGTTGGAAGGAACAGCCAGAAATGGTCCTCTGGAAAGGAGAATGGTTTTACTGAAGATGCTCAATCATTGGGTTTCTTTTCTCTTCCCAGGAACTTCGAGGAGTGTCCAGCAGTTTCTGGCTATGTGTGACAGGGGTGAAACTTCCGAAGCGGTCAAGCACACAGGAAGGACTTTGAACTACCGGAGTCTCCCCCATCGAACCAGAACAGATGCCTCCTGGGGAGCATGGTCAGAGACCAACCAGCATATTGGCGCCAGATTCCTGACTACTCCAGGGTGCAAGCCTCAGCTAACTCACACTGCCACACTACCAGAGAGACACCAGGGCCTTCAGGTTCCTCATGCTCAGTCCTGGGAGGATCTTTTCCATTCACCCTCCCACCCTCCCATTGTTTACCCTGTATCCCTACCGTCAAGCAGTCTTCGTGTACCCCTGAGGTCAGCTTGGAATTCAGGTCCTGTTCCAGGGTTTCGAGCCCCTGGTCCTCGAAGAGTAGATATGCCCCCAGATGATGACTGGAGGCAAAGCAGTTATACCCTGCAATCTGGGCACAGGAGGACAGGGAGAGAGGAGTTTCTGTTTGTTCTAGCAGATGCCCCTGGAAGAGAGCAGATCAGGGCTAGAGCCATGCAGCACAGCAGGTGGTAAAGGTCACCCCTTTCCTCTCCTGGAGCCACAGCTTTCTCTGCAGAGTTGGTACCCTGCATCCCTGCTGGGGCTGTGCTAGTCTCATCTCAGCATAGAGTTGGCACCTTCTCCTAGGGGTGCCAGGAACTGCTAAAGAGACCCAGCTCTTTGAGAGGGAATATTTGAAATTCCAATTTCCATTCACCTAGCAAAAGGAAGCAGCTGCTGTTTAGGGCTTTATTTGACCCACCTTAAAGATGAATCCATATTACTCTGGACACTAGCCATTCCTTAGGATCTTAGGGTCACCATTTTATTCCTGAATACTCTATGCCCCCACCTCCACCTGAGCCCTCGTATTCTGTTCCTTATTATATTACCAACTTCTTTGTTTTATCCACCTGTCCCTATTACCTGACCTTCTGTCTTCCCAATCCCCCATCCTTGGAGGGACATGTAGCCCTGTAGTCTTGGTCTTGACCACAACATTCAGGCTAACCCACCTGCCCAGATTGTCCCTCTGCCCTCAAACTTTTGGCCTAGAATGCGAGGCTGCCAACATAACAATTGCTCTTCTGAACAGATGGAGTCAGGCACACTAACATACCCTCCTGTCCTCAGCAGCAGAGCCATTACTGCCACTCGCTCAGTCGCTGTTGTAAACCCTGAGAGTCAGCTGAACTATTTTAGGGCCAAACATACTGTTTTTGTAAAGTATTTTTCATTAATAAATCTATAAGATAGTTCTATTTAATTCCTTGTCACTTAATTGTCTATTTAATCCCTTTTGTATGCTCTTGCTCTTTTGTATTGGGGTGGGGAAGCCTGGAGAAGCAAGAAATACCAATTCCCAGTGGCCTGGGGCTCTGTATATGGCTTTTGACTGAGTGAAAGTGAGCAGCCAAAGAGGAATTGAAGGATAGTTGAAGGGTATATATTCAAGGTAGGAGTCATTGGGTCCTAATATGGAGTGACTTTCCTTGTTATTATTGCCACTAGTATATTTTCTATCCCTTTCCTGCCAAGAGGCACTCAACACATTACACACTTTCTCCTTCCCTCCTTAGGGAGATTTTCTGGGGATTCAAACTCCTCTTACAAACTCACTCCTGATCTAGGTACTCTTGGTGCCCTCCCTCTACAAGTTTGTGATGCGCCTCGTATCCTTTCCTTGCTCTCTTCCCATGGCTGCCCCTCCCCTTCCCCTGTGGAATTATTGCACTTCCATGCCAGAAAGATCCATTTTCACCCCTGCCTCACTCCCAAATTCACCTCCCTCTAAAAAATATTTTGTGAGTTCCCTTTGCAAAGAATACCCATTGGGCATTTCTCTTCTGTTTTACCCCAGCTCTCACGATCACTGAGATTGACGAAATGAAGAGGTAGAAAGGTGCTCTTTGAGACCTTTGAACAACTGCTTATCTAATTATCTCCATCTATTATGAACAGATTCTGAGCACATGTAGTATTGAGCAGGAGGATGGGCAGGCATTTCTCACCCTATGCTACTTGAATCCTATGCCGTCAAGATATATAGATCTTAGTGGATATGCTGGTCTCTGTTCATGATCCAGTACCTTTCCTGGTGTCATACACACTTCTAATAATTATTGATTGAACAGTCAGTTCTTTTTTTTAAAAATTAATTTATTTTTGGCTGCACTGGGTCTTCTTTGCTGCGCGTGGGCTTACTCTAGTTGTGGCGAGCGGGGGCTACTCTTCGTTGTGGTGCATGGGCTTCTCATTGCGGTGGCTTCTTTTGTTGCGGAGCACAGGCTCTAGGTGCGTGGGCTTCAGTAGTTGTGGCTCTCGGGCTCAGTAGTTGCGGCACGCAGGCTCTAGAGCACAGGCTCAGTAGTTGTGGCGCACAGGCTTTATTGCTCCACAGCACGTGGGATCTTCCCGGACCAGGGCTCGAACCCGTGTCCCCTGCATTAGCAGGCAGATTCTTAACCATTGTGCCAGCAGGGAAGTCCCGAACAGTCAGTTCTTGTCCCACTACTCCGTTCCCCATGAATGTCCGTCTCTATAAAGTTTCCATAGAAAACCTGGGCCCACATTTCTGTATACACAGAGAAATATCCTGTGAGGTATTTCTTATGAGGAACTAATTTCCAATTCCCTACTTACTCCCCTGCCTTCGGAATCTCTGTTTTCTGAATGAATCAAGAGGGAGGCTGTGTCCTTTTCAGGTGAATTCTGTACTCTTTGAACATCTCTTGGTGTCATCCCTTTCTTTCCTCTTACGTGTTTTGATTCTTAACCCTTGGAGCCTAGTCTGCTCTACCTGCATTGTTACTCTGTGCCTCCAGACTCTTGACAGTTCCAGGCTCTAAACACAAGGGTCAGTCAGATTCTCTCTCAGACTCCATTCTGAACTGTTGCTTTGCTCTAGAATCTAGAATGCTTCCTCTATTTCTCCTTTCAGTTACCAACCAAAGTACCCGGATTCGGTAGTCAAACTGTTATATATTTTTTCTCTATTAGTAGGAGATTCTTAGGTTTGATCGTCACCCCATCTTACTGGGAGCTCCATAAAAGCCGGTGTCGTTTTCCCTAGCACTCATTCACCGCAGCAACTGGATGCAGACAGCCATCTCTTCTCACTCTTTTGTTTCTGCCTGCCCAGAATTTTCACCTGATCCCTTGGCTCGTCCCGTTTCTCTCCTAGCCTCAGTAATTTTGCCCAAGTCCCTAGAGCCTGCTCCGCCCCCGCCCCCGCACGCGCGGTGCATGCCGGTCTTAGCCCCTCCGTAGGGAAAGAGGGTCCGCCATGTTCCCCGGCGGCGCCGCCGCTTGGCTCTGGTAGCCGCCGCCCCCGCCCCCAACCCCGCCCGGCCCAGCGCCTAGCCGAGCCCCGGGCCCAGCATGGCCGCCCCGGAGCCGGCCCGGGCTGCACCGCCCCCACCCCCGCCCCCGCCGCCCCCTCCCGGGGCTGACCGAGTCGTCAAAGGTGAGAGGTGGACGAAGCCCTGAGGGCCTGGCCTGAGGAGGTAGCTGTGTGAGGGCGGGCGGGAGACCGTCCCCTCCGGAGCGGGCCCGGAAGGGCGGGCGAATGACTGGCTGCCTCCCTTGGGGAGTGGCCCCTGGGCGGGCCCCTGCTGGGCTGGGCTGAGTCGGTGGCGGCGGCTCCGCGGTCTCTCGCTTGCCTTCTGGCCGTGGTGGGGGTTTCGCCCTGGGGGGTCTCCTAGCCGAAGGGGTGAGGCTACTAGTCGCAGAGCCCCTTTCTTTTCCTGCCCTGTCTGTCAAAAGCGGCCCAAAGGCCGCGATTAGCTTCCTGCACCGCGACAGCTGCACGCCTGGCTTGCCTGGGCGGACCGAGGGGCTCGGAGACCTTCAGCCACGCGGGGCCGGGCGATGAGCAGTCAGAAATCACCTCGGCTTTGGCCCACGTCTGCTCCCCAATGACAGCCGTCTGCCCTATTCGCGCCAGCCGCAGGGGTTCGCCTTCGACCCTCAGGTGTCACCCCGCGCGGAAATTGGGGGAACTGTATGGGATCGGACAAGGGTGAAGGGACGAGCCAGAATTTGGGGGCCCCGGCTTTAAGTGCAGAATAGATGGAAAAAAGACAGCATAAAAGAGAAAAAAGCTTCAGGGATAGGAAGAAGCATTTACGTAGAAAACCGTCAACACTTTTTGGTCAAAGGCCAAGAGGGGTTAGCCCTCCTTTGCAGACAGACACCCACACACTCCCCCTAGAAGAAAAAATTAAATATTTCTCAGCTGGTGCAGAATTTATGGTTGTTTAACGACCACAGGTCAGCAGATTAATTTAAAATAGAGAAATTGAGGGCTAATTGAGAGTTGCTTAAGATTTCCACGCTCTCTGGGAGAGCCCATCAACTTCAAGCACTGCTGCGGAGGTGAAAAACATAATTTGAAATGATTTTTCTTTATCCTGTAGCTTGGTCAATAAATTGAAATCATTTTAGAATAAAGGTTTCCTTATTGTATCACATTTATTTTTGAAAGGTAGCTACTTCTTTATTTGTTTTATTTATTTATTTCATTCAGCTTCTTAAGTATACTGGCACAATGTAAACACTGTTAGCCCAGTTTTGGAAATCTGACTAGACATGTTTCCATTAAAATATTTAAAAACAAGAAAAACTTTTTCCTTTGTGTTTTTTTAATTTTAGTTTGTCAATTCGAGTCTCCTTTAATAATAATAACACTAATTTGTATCTAGGCTATGTAGATAATTAAAAAAAATAGTATATCTGTTCAGGCCAGTTATTGGAATGAACTTAAAAAAGAGTTTATGGAATCCTTGTCCTGAGAAATCTTTTAAAAAAGAGAAAGAAAAATGATTGGTAGTTCAGGCATTCATCCTATTGTGAAATCCTGAAGTTCTGTGGGTGTGGGAATAGGAGACATGGGCTGCCTGTTAATTTGCTGACAGTATACTTGTGCTGTCTGTTAATTTCCCTGGGTACTTTTCACCCTACTATTAGATGGGACAACCAGTCACATTGCTGAACAGTGAGTTTATGCTCTCCTTATGCTTGTGAATCTTCTTGTTTCTTGTCAAATATGTGGTAATATTTCCCTTGTACTGCTTTAATACAGTAAAAATAAGATTCCAGACATAAGGCATATTCCTTAGGGGTGAGTTTTGAATGCAAGACACAGTCATGTTTGCAGTTTATTGGTATGAAATAAAAGTCATTTGATTTAGGTAAATAGGAGTTTGTTGGTAAGAAAATTATAGTTTAGTAGAGCTCATGGATATAAGATCTCATGTGCTTTGTAGTATATTCTTCAAGACAATTTTCATTTCTTCATGGAATTTGTTAGCTAGTTGGAATGACTGATATGGATCACATGCTTTAGATATAGTGTGCAACAGACTGGTTTGTGCTGCTCATGGAGTCTCTGGCTTCCTTGGAAGTTACTGGGAAACTTACCTTTTGTATACAAATCTTTTAGATTTCATCTTCAAGCTTTTCTTGTCTTTCTCAGTCAATAATTGTACTCTAATGTTGCATTTGATGACAAAGAACACCAGTTTCCTGAAGGTATATGACCACAGTGCTAGTTCAACTTAGGTTTAACTTGTTAAAAATCCATATTTCTTTTAAGTCCAGTATGTGCTAGTTTTGCATCAGTACCATTTCATAGTAGTAATGTTATGGAGACCATCGTTGACGTTGAATACAAGTAGTCTTTTTACTCCCTGAAACTTTTCCTTGTTGTCTCTAAATTTTATACTCTTACACTTCTAGTCAGGAGGCCTATATTTTATGGTCACATAGGTTTTGAAGGGGAAATAGGTCTTTCTGTATTTAATATCAAATGCCTGAAATTCACATCATGTGAAGTTTGAGATCGTGGGATACTATAGGTGATTCATGTATAAATTATCTATTCACTGAAATTATTAGTGGTAATTCCATATCTCTGATTATGGGTGATTAAGTTTCCTGGTTAGTTAAAGCAGTTCAGTTCTGAGCCTGCTTCAGCTGCTGGCTCTGGTCAAATTCTGTTTGAAAGTTGGTGTAGCCCAAGTGGTTTAGGTGAGATAGTATGCCCTCTTGACAATTTTCTGTTAAGCATTTTTCTATCTTTAGCTAAGATAGGAAGTTGAAAATAAGAAAATAGAAACAAACTAGGAAAAACAGCTGATTGTATTGGTGTGAATGCCTTATTGACACATCAGCAAAATTGGTGTGTGTAATTTAAGCATAAAACCCTGAATTTATGTATATCGCTCTCCCTCCTCGCCCGGAAATTTGCTTGACCTGAATTGTTCAGGTACTTCCTTTTCTTTCCAGATACTTTTAAAATGTACTTTTTGCCGTATAGATCAGGTCCCAGATTTATAAAACTAGATTATCCCTTGAGATTATTAAATCTATTACTCCTGATACAAAAATTCACCTTTATCACTTAGAATGCATTGTCTATATTGTGTATATGTTCATTTTAGCACCCACAATGTGACTCTCTTTTGCATTCAACATGTTTTCTTTATTTCATAGGTTATATTATCCTTATCTCTTAAATTATCAGACTTTCAGATTGAACCAAAATGCTAAAGAGTGTGTGTTGTAAGTTTTTTAGCTATTATATATCTGATGGGCAGCCTTATGATTCATTTAGGTTCTCTTGCCAGCTGCCCTGCTTATAAATCTGAGGCTAACGTGTTTTCCAGTACCTTAGCTTTATTAGGATTGCTTATTTTCATTACAGATTTTTAGATGACCCACATAGGTCTTGGGGTCACATAGCTACTTCAATGTTTTTTACTAGTTCTATTTCATTATATTTTAAAGCAACTTGAATTTTAATTTTTGTTTACAAAATCTATTTTGTGGACTTACCTATCTAAAAAAGATAACTCTTGAAAATGATTTTTCTTTTTCTTTCCACCTTCATTAAACTGTTCAGCATACTAAAATAAATCTTTATTACCATGTGTCCTATAGAAAGCAAAGGAACAGAGAATATTGTGTGTGTGTGTGTGTGTGTGTGTGTGTGTGTGTGTGAGAGAGAGAGAGAGAGAGAGAGAGCGTGAGAAGGAAAGAGAACACTGGCAACAGGTCATCTTAGAAGGAAAATGCCAAGGAGGAAATACAGCTGTTCAGTAGTGAGGCAAAAGCTTTAGGTTCGGAGCTATTGAATGAATTGGCAAGAGTTATAAGGAAAAGTTTGGTGAAAGAATTTTGATTTATTAGATGAGGTGTGTTTTAGTGCCAATCATATGACTTCATTTCATTATAAAAATGTTTATACACAGAGATGAAATAAGCTAAAGCTAATTGGCATCCTTGTATGGTATGTAAAATTTATTTTGGAAATTCAGAGTAATCAAATAGCAAATATTTATTTAATGCCTGCTGTATAGCTAAAAACTGTAGGGAAACAACAGAAGTGTGAAAGATAAACTACAGTCTTGGTCCTTGGGGAAATAAGTACTCATAAAAAGTTAATCATTTATGTCATAAGGCTGGGTGTGATTAATAATTGCCAGATAAGTGGCAGACCCAGCAAGCTGAGTTCAAAGGAGGTAGTGATGATTCTGGACTGGAGTGGTCTAGCAAGGGTTTGTATAGGAGGAAAGAGGTCTTGAAGAATGGGTAAGATTCAAATAAGCAAAAGATTGGGACCATTTATTTGTGCAACATTTATCGAGTATGTGCTTTGTACCAGACATATTACTAGGCATTAGGGATACAGAATTGAAATAAGTAAGATAGATTCTCTTGGAGGCAGTCTGGTGGGGGAGACATTATTGCAAATAAATAATATAATGAATTAGGTACAAAGTGCTGTTGGAGCTGTAAAAAAGGAATTAACTGTCTTAATTGGAGGGAAACTTTACTGAAAGGATTATGTTTTGAGCGGAGCCTTAAAGGATGAGTAGAATTTCTTCAGATATAAGGTAGGGCTGGGATAGAGAAAATATTTTCTGGTAGAGAAAACAGTAGCAGAAAGGCATGGAGTTTGAAAAAAGCATGAAATGTGTGACAGTATTGTGTAAAGTTCTTGGCAAGCAGGAGATGAAGTTGGAAAGGGTTTTTTGTACACCAAGTTGAGGATCTGAAACTTAAGCTAAGCAGTATAGCCTCTGGATGATTAAGAACACTGGATGATTACGCCTCTGGAGTCAGACTGCCTGGGTTTGAACCTAGTTCTACTTTAACCTTTTCACTGAGGACAAGATACTTAATATCACCAACCCTCAATTTTCTCATCTGCAAAATAGAGTTAATAATACGGGATTTTTGAAGGATTAATAGAGACAATTCATGTAAAATTTGTACCGCAGTGCCTGGCCTGACACATGGTAAGTACTCAACTAATGGTAGCCATCACCATTATTATTATTGAAGGTTTTAAAGTAACGGAATGACCCAGTATTTTGGTTTTTGAAAGCTAACGTGATATTGTGTAGAATGAAATATTATAATGGGAGAGGCTTAAATCAGGATGTCAGAAGATTAATGGAGTAGTCCAAGTGCAGAATGACCACAGTATGAATTAAGAGAAGGAGAAAAACCAGATATGACACAAATTCTGAGTAATATTAGAAAGTAGATATATTGGATCAGTGACTGGGTGTGGGAATGAAACAGGTGGAAGAGCAAACCCTTTTGAGAAAACAGTAATCAGACTAATTTTGCTTTAGTGATTGTTTGAGCATTGGTAGTTGAAAGCAGAAGAGATTGGAGTGACATGGAAGATACTGGGAATGGTTAAGAAAGACTTTGAAAATAAGTTTCAGGCTTTTGTTCCCTTTATTCTTTAGTCCTTAAGAAACCACCCCAAATTTTGGGGTAGATTTATCTACCTATGCTTTGTACAAAAAAGGGGAGGGAAAGTAGAGATTTTAGTTAGAGTTTTCTCGTACACAAAGTAATAAGAACTTGAACTAACATTGCAGCAATGGAGGTGTTAAAAAAAAAAAAAGAGAATTTGAAGAATCAGTAGGACTTGGAGTCCAGAAAGAGAACAAT